GGAGATCACTGAGTTTGACCAGATTAAACTCTTAAGAAACTTTATTTTGTAAAGCTAAATAAATACTTTGTGCACAGAGACACGTTCACATGAAGGTTTATTAAAAAATGGTAATGAATCCCAAAATGATAAGAGTATAGTTGTGTTCAGTTACCCGTTTAATCTTAATCTCTGTACTTATTGTCACGCATAATGTATATGTCTTCTTCCAGATGACTTTTTCAGAAACAAAGAACTGTGTCTGTGTTGGACTCAGCATGAGATTTTATTTGTAGCCGTTCTGCTTCCCGTCAGTTCCTGTTCTGGACGCCTCCCGTTCGCCCACAGGTCAAAGTATTTGGACGAGGGACCGGGCCGTGGGTGCCGCAGCGTCTCCTGTTGCATGAAGCGTCCGTGACAGAGCCAGGAAAACATGACAACTTTGAGGTTTCTAGTCAGCTGTCCACAAATAAGCCCGTCGCACGTCTTGACTGCTGCGTCTAAAGAAACTTTAGTTTCAAGACTGATGAACTTTTCACTCGAGCCTGTCACAGGGCGGAGGTGTAATTATTGTGCGTCGCTTTGTGTCTCGGCTTGGTGGAGCAGTTTAGTTGGTTCGTTCGTGTCTGCCGTGTGCAGCGAGGTCTGTAGGTGAGAGGCTGCTGTGCTTTTTAGAGTTCGAATGTGACACAGCGATTGCTGCCTAACACCTCAGGACCCCCGATTACAGGGTCCCTCCTACTGCTTGGAATAGGGAACCATTCAGGCGGAGCTTGCCTTGAGCACAGTCTGCATACATGTCTCTTTATTTTAAATGTTTTCACCTTATTTTATTAAGTCCTCTCTCGCTGCTCCTCCTGCGCTCTGTCCACTGTCATCTATCCTGTCTTGTTTCTTTTAAATGCTCCAATCAGTGCGCTGTGATCTGTGGGTGCTGCAGCTGTTTCTCTGCCTTGTGTTTGTCAGATGCTGGCCACTCTACTCATCATACGCCAGTTCCTTCAAAACGTTAAGGAGGTGCTGCAGCCTTACCTGTATGAGCGTCACAAGCTGGGAGAGCTTACGCTGCGAGCCGTGTGGGACCTGCTGCTCTCAGTGCTGCTGAAATACGCCCGGCTGGCAGCTGGAAAAGCCATGGCGTCTCCCACTGACCAGACCATGCCAGGACCCGGACTGAGGGGCACCAGGCCTGGAGTGGGGCAGCCAGAAAGAAGGTGGTGCTCTGAGCCGTTCAGTAAAGATGATGCAGTAAAGAAAGCGTGTGCTGAAAGATCCGTGACGTTCGTGTGTTTAGCTGTCATTCACACCAACACTTACTGCGTTAGTCACTACAAGCAGAGCCGCTCGGCTGCAGACAGAACGACACTTTATCGTCCTCCGCTATTGTTCACGCACCGCATGCAGTTATGATTCATAGCTATCAGACACCGAGTGCACAGACCGCCAGAACAGGTTGGCACACAGTTACTCTGACGTTTATCTGTCTCTTCACCTGCTCTCAGGGAAAAGAAGTGTCTGAACGGAGGATGTGGAGTGCCTGATGAGGAGGAGGGAGCTGAGAAGGACGAGGCTGACAGCGGGAGGTTCAGCGAAGGAGAGACGGAGGAGGAAAGTTTGATCGACTGCGGCTTGAAGCTGAGGAAAGTGAGCTTCATAGAGAAGGTACAGTGCCGCGTGACCAGCGTTAGCACGTTCACGCTTTAGAGGTTGAATCATGTAACTGATCAGCGATGTCGTGGTTAAGGTGGACAGAAAGGCGGCGTGCAGTGGGCCCCCTGTGGACAGCAGCTTTCTGGAGGAGGGAAGCCCCACCATGGTGGAAAAGGGAATGGACCCGGCCTCGATGTTCGAAATGTGCGACGACGACGACGACAACGGAATTCATGATGTGAAGGACTCGAGCGGGGGCAGGGCTGAGGCCGCTGATGCTGCCGCCGCCGCCAGCCCGCTGCCTTCTGGATCTGAGAGCAGCGCGTCGCTGCGTCACAGAAGAAGAGGCCGGAGCGCCGAGAGGGTCGAGCCGAAAACGAAAAGGGAATCGTGGATGGATCCCCCCGAGGAGAGAGAGAGCACCACGCTCACTCAGGCGGAGATGGAGAGCTGCATGCAGACGTACTCAGTAAGTGCACATATGTACTCACCCTGCACGTACGGCTCAACTGACACCTTGGCTGATTGTGATTGGGTAGAGGATCAATAGGGGGTCCATGGCACTCTTTCGGACACTCCCACAGGGCTTAAATCTGAGATTCTCCACCAGTCGCATTTAGAACTGAAGAAGCTTCTCAGATGAGAGGTCTTTCCAAGCTCCTTAGACTACTGACAGAAGGGAAATGCAAGTGAGGTCAGAGGTCAAATGTGACATATTTGGACCCAAACTGTAGTGTGATATTTAGTATCGTTTTAAAGATCAGAGATTTTCTTGAAAGTTTGACCTCATTTGAAGAAGTGATCAGAGGTGACTGAGTAACGTGATATTTACAATCACTATATGCCTGCATAGTTTTACATGCTCAGTGCAGCATTATTATCACTGAGGTTCAGATCAATCAAGTCAAATGTGATGTGATATTTTGAACCTTATAAAATCGGTACTTTATAAGTACCAGATGTTGACTGTGTGATAATCATCCCCGCAGACCTCGGTGGATGTAAGCCAAAGTTTCCTGGGTCGTTAACAGTTTACTCTTCGGCCGCCCCTCATCTGTTGTTTTTTTTCGGCAAAATTATCCACACCCACCGCCGTGCTATGCATTCTGGGATATGTTGGGCCACGAAGTCTTCACCGCCACTTCCTTAAAATTCAGGGAAATGAAGGACGCATTTGAGGGCCGCATTTCGAGCAGCCTTTGAATTGGGACAGCCTTCGTTGCGTCAATGTGACGTAATCGGCCTTACAATGCGGCCTTTAAGGCTGCAGACCCTGAATCGGGATACAGCCTCTGTGTTTCATTCAGTCTGTGTCATGTCGTCTGTGTTCCCACCTCCATGTTTTCATGGTCAGTCTTTGCAGTTATCACCATAGTCTCTGAGTCTTCTTAGTTTGTCACAGTACTAGTTTTCCCAGTTTAGTTATAGTCTAGTTTAGTCACGCTATCCCTGCTTTGTTTGTTCACTTTGTCTTCAGCCATAATAAAGGCTCGCTTTCTGTTAAGTTCACTCCCGTGTACGCACCTGGGTCCATCACACACACCACCACATTAGGGGTGCAACGATATTGAACCGTTCAATACAGTGCTTTCGGTTCGGTACGCATATGTCGAACAATACAAAATTTGTAATTTATTTTATCAACTTTCCTTCTGACGATGCTGTCTGTGTTGAGCGCTCAGTGGATCTGCGTTCGACTACTCCGCCTAGGCTGCACTGTCGAGCGCAGATCCACTGAGCGCTCAACACAGACAGCATAGTCAGAAGGAAGAGCGCAGGGCAAGCTAGCAAGACAGAAGTTAAGCTCTCCTTGCAACATGGCAAATTGAACCTCCCCCACCCTCATTCAGATCTGGCCTTTGGAACTATTTTGGTTTTCATGTGAAGTATGACCCTGAAGGTAAGCGCTTCATGGACTAAAGTAAAACAGTATGTTGGATGTGCCACGCAATGCTCAATTACATTGGTGTGAACTAGTGTGTTAGGCAGTTAGCTCGTTAACTTGTTAGCCGTCTAGCCCCACGCGGGGTGATCAGGGGTAGCTCGTTAACGGATATTTGCCGTGTTGTGGCGTTAACGTCATTTCAACGAGATTAACGCTGACAGCACTAGTGGGAACACAACGAATATGACTGCACATTTACGCCGACATCATCCTAGTGCAAAGACAAGTGGAAGCAGACAAAAACAACAAGCATGCTACAAACTTTACCCGAGTCATTTAGACAGCCGTTAGCACAGGATTCTCCTTATGGGGACCTGATATGTTTAATATTGTGGCGAGCTCAGACAAGGAGGAGACGGAGGTGTCGTTTGGTCTTGCTTCCCGTGAGCTAGCCAGGGAGCACAGCCGTTTATTGACATCTGCAGAAGAACACTGCCGCTAGCTAACTGCTCAGCGCGGCAACCGCACAGCAACAACAACAACACACAGGGCGCCCTCTGACCCCGGAAGGACACACCGTCGCAGCGAGAGGGCGTCACCCGTCACTATGGCAACATAAACAAAACATAACTGTACAAACAGAACCCCGAGCAGCCCTGACCCGCTACAATATGCTGCTGAGAATATAGCCCAGAAGAAGCGTATAGTATAGCTTTTATTTTGGAAAGAGCCATTTCTCTGTAATAAACTCTCTTTTCCAAAGATGAGGGATTTCTCAATCAGATACAGGGCTCGCAAAATCGCCTGCCCAACGTCCTGGGGCTAGCGATTTTTCCAGTCGGGCTACCAAAATCTATCTCTGCCCTGCCCGTCAGGCTATTGTAGGAAAAATATATGTCAATGCTTTTGCATTCTTTCAGAAATGTAGCTGGGTAATTATGTCATTGGCATCGGTGAGCCACTGTCAATATGTGACATATTGAAGTCGCGTTTGAATTTGCGCTTGTTTTTTTGCTTTCACTTTGCAATCGTGCTAACTGTGTATAGAGAGCGACAGCACTGATCTGTGAGTGATGATAATTTGCGCACCAATTCCTCTGACATCGTCTTATTAATCGTTAGCTTACTATGCAAACATGACAAGTGAAATCTCCCGCAGCTTAAACATGTGAGAGGTTGATCGCGCAGAGAATCGCTGAGCTTATGTGAGTGAGTGTGTAAAAGCAGCAGGATATATATTTTAGTTCTGCTGAGCCAAATAAGACAGGTCAGGGTGAAGACGTGACAGCCAAAGAAAAGCTTACCGCAAAACGGAGAAGTTATGACAAATCAGACTAAAAAGAAAGTGCCGCTTTATGGTTTCATGGACAAAAGAATTTCTGTGGCTGCAATATGACGAGCTAAATAACCAGGGCTGCACATAAGTGGTCCGCAGGTGCACATTCGCTGTCAAAAAAAAAAAAAAAAAACGCGCACAAGATATGAAGTTGCAACGCGTGTTTGCATACATAAGATTTTCTGGAGGAGGACAGACATTTGTTTAGAACTCTTAAAGATGTCGAAGAAGCTCCTTTAAGCAATTACTGTGATGTTCCTCCACCTCCAAACAAATGTCAGAAGGAGTCCGAACCACAAAAGAAGCACGTATTCTCGGAAAAGTGGTTGCAGGAGGTGAGCTGGCTTCAAACAAATGATGAACGCACAGAGATGTGGTGCAGAATGTGCCGTGAAAATCCCACTCTAGCGGACAAAAACAGCTTTTTATATGGACGCAAACGCGCGCTGCAACTTCTTATCTGGTGCGTCTTTTATTTTGACAGCGAATGCGCACATGTGGACCACTTATGTGCACCCGTGTAAATAACATAATGTTCTGCCGGGTGTGTTGTTGGATTTCTCTCGATTTCTGAGTCGACAAGCGCCTTTGTTACTGGGACCAGTCATTTTAAGAAAGCCCCCCATTAGAAGCCATGAGAAATGCAAGAAACGCATTATTGCTCAGTCTGCAATATCTTTCCCAGAACAAACACCAATTGCAAATAACAGACTAAAAATAAACCTGAAAAATCTGTTTAGAACAGCTACTATGTTGCGTGAACTACCACTGGCACAATGTAGCAGTCTTTGCAAACTTCAAAAAGCAAACGGCCTCAATCTTGGTTCCACTTGTCTCTTACCCGTGACTTCAGTGGAAATTTCAAATTCAGGCTCTGACACAGACTGATTCATGTCCTACACAGTTCTTACAAGTTCATAGAAATTTCTGTTCAATTAGAACCAAGTATTTGAGTTGATGACTGTAATTTTTATACATGTTGTAATTTGTTTTTCAACAATTTTTTGATTAATGTTTTGTTTCCTTTACAATATTATACTTTAATGTATAATATTGTAAAGGAGACAAAACATCAATCAAAAAAATTGCTCTCTTTTTTATTCGGGCTGCTTAAATTTATTTTGGGCTACCAAAAACTGAAGAGTCCCTGCCCGAAGGGCTACCAGGGATTTTGAAATTTTGCGAGCCCTGAGATATATTTATTTTTTTAATTACTTTTGTTTCAGCAACATTAAATTTAAAAACTGTACTTTTGAGTTAAAATATATATTTATAATTTTAATAAATGACAAATTAAAAAGGCATGAACATTTGTTTTGTATCGAAAAAATATCGAACCGAACCGTGAATTTTGTGTATCGTTGCACCCCTACACCACATGGCCTGTCTCCGCAGACCGTGACAAGTTCATTCTAAACATCTGGTGTTTACAGGCAGAACGACTCGTTCTCTGTTATTCTCTTTAAAAACTGGTCACTCTTTGAATCCTAGAACTACAACATGAATCCTACAGACCTTATAAATGCTTGTATGACTGCCATATCTTATTATATCTTATATATCTCATCTACAAATGAGTTTAGTCCACAGAAAATGCAGCGTCGTCCGCAGCAGCCATGTAGTCACGTACTGTACAGACTGCATTTGGCTTATTGCTCCACTTTGTCCTTCTTAGGACACTTTCCAAGACTACCAGGAGATGTTTGTCCAGTTTGGCTACGTGGTGCTCTTCTCCTCTGCCTTTCCTCTGGCTGCCATGTGCGCTCTCATCAACAACATCATTGAGATCCGCAGTGATGCCTTTAAGCTCTGCACCGGCCTGCAGAGGCCCTTTGGAGTCCGTGTGGAGAGCATCGGCCAGTGGCAGGTAAGAAATGCACTGTGTGAACATGGGGAGCTGACTAACACACAAACGGCATTACTGTTAACAAACCAATCAAGTTCATCAGTAATCAGAGTCTGGCTGAACTTGATTTAAGAGCAAAGCACAAAGTCAGAAAAAAATGGAAAGCTTTTATTTTCCCGTTCACAGACTGCGATGGAAGCCATGGGCCTGATTGCCATCATAGTGAACTGCTACCTGATTGGTCAGTGTGGTCAGCTACAGCGTCTCTTTCCATGGCTCAGCCCTGAGATGGCCATCATCTCCATCGTCATCCTCGAGGTACCGCAGCTACTTCCTGCTCAGTCTGAAACACAGCGGCGCTCTTTCAGTCTTTTCCCGTCACACAGTTGTCCTACCTGTAAAGACTGGGACGGACATTTAACAGAACATTTACTCAAACCACTTCATCAGTCGGTAAACTGTTTAACACAGATTTCACTTTCATGACACGTAATGAAGTAGAAGCCCAGGAAATAGTTTACTAATAGGAAGATGAGATTGGCGGCCAGTCATGACATCAAACCAGTTTTAACTCTCCAAACGCGTGAACAAAGGAACTGAAAGATAAGATAAGATAGAACTTTATTAATCCCTCGGGTGGGTTCCTCTGGGAAATTCGACTTCCAAAAAAAGCACAGCAACGACCGAAGTTACAGTTACAGAATTGTTATATATATATATATATATATATATATATATATATATATATATATATATATATATATATATATATATATATATATATATATATATATATATATATATATATATACACACACACACACACACACACACACACATACATATATAAATACAGAGACAAATATAAATAAAATATACAAAGGGGATAAATAGAATAAATAGGAATAAAAAATAAAAATACAAGTGAATTGCACATTTCAAGTATTGAGTCTATTGCACTGTTGACTATTTACAAAAAGTATTGCACAAGGTATTGTACAGTGAGGTGAAGAGGCACTACAGCTTAGTTGTTCCCCCCTCCTTTGTCCTCCTGTTTCCCCTCCCTCTCCCCTCCAGAGAGGAGTTAAACAGTCTGATGGCGTGTGGGACAAAGGAGTTTTTAAGTCTGTTAGTTCTTGTCTTGGGGAGAAGCAACCTGTCACTGAACAGACTCTTCTGATTGTTTATGGCCGTGTGCAGAGGATGCCTGGCATTGTTCATAATGTCCATCAGTTTCTTTAATGTCCTTTTCTCTGCCACTGTCACCAGAGTGTCCAGCTTCATGCCGACCACAGAGCTAGCCCTCCTGATCAGTTTCTCCAGCCTGAAACCGTCTGTGCACAACGCTGCTGCTACAGCTTGTCACATATTTAGAAACAGGCTGTGCTTCACTGTGCCGGCCGTCTGCATCCAGAGGGGTCAACAGCCTGCAGCTCTGTGCTGGCCTGATAAAGAAGTTTGAGCCCAAATGTTGCAAGAATGACCTCAAGTGACAAGTTGCTTAAAGAGGGCGTTTGAGGCACCATGTCCTATTTACTGTATGTGAATTACTTTATAATTGTTTGACTTCACCTTCCTTGTTTTCCACCTCTCTGTCTGTTTGCAGCACTTTGCCATCCTGTTGAAATACATCATCCATGTGGCTATTCCCGACATTCCTACATGGGTCAAAGAGGAGATGGCTAAGCTGGATTACCAGCGCAGGGAGGCCTTTAAGGTGACTTCAGGGAGTTCGAAGAAGCCCTTTAAAGTCTCCCTCATTAACCTTATGATGCTACAGCACTGCAGTTGTTTCTTTTTGGAAATAAATGACTAAAGTTGCTTTGATATTGTAGCAAAATGACTGTTACTGTAAAGGTTGTCAGCTGTGCTGCACAACACAGGAAAAGAGATTAGCTTGTAGCTGCCCCGGGAGCACTAATGCAAGATTCTGACTGCAGTAAGGGCTTTTAGACAAGTCGCGCTGCGGTAGTGTAGTAGTTGACTACTGCTGATTCTTTATGAATGCATTGTGAGAACGTTTCCCTTCCTCTGCAGAAGCACGAGCGGCAGGCGCAGCAGCATTACCAGCAGCTGCAGAGGAGGAAGAGGGAGGAGGAGGAGAGGCAAAGGCAGGCAGAGCACATGGCTCGCAGGGAGAGGGAGCGGGACGACAGCAAAGGCGACGTTTCGGGGGATCACCACCACGACAAAGGTCACGGCAGCAAATCACGTTCTGGGGGTGGAGGCGGAGGAGGGAGCGGCGGGTCGGACAAGCCCAAGAGGCCCAGCTCCCTGTTGGCCAATAATAATGTGATGAAGCTGAAGCAGATCATCCCGCTGCAGAGCAAGTTCTCCTCGGGTGGCGCCCGCTCCCCACAGTCACCCACGGGCAGCGAGCCAAAACTGCCCGGCTTCTTGAGCTTCAAATTCCTCAAGTCGCCTGAGAATAAGAGGGAAGGTGCTGCGGCTTCTGCGGCCGCCGGCACCACATCTGCCAGCGCCACGGCGACAGCGGCGCCGTCATCGTCATTATCAGGTAGCAGCTCTCAGGAGCGTTCTCAGTCACCCAATAAAGCCTTCAACCCCGGGAAATTGTTTAACTTTGGGAAATCCGAGGGAGGGACTTCCACGAACGGAGCTCCGCTGCCCAGGTCAGGAGAGGGGTCATCATCGCTGACGACAGAAAGACAGCCTTCCCGGTCTGACTTGAATGGCGTTCCGGACGAGATCCCCTCACCCGGAGGGGAAGGCGCAGAGAACGGACATTCATCAGACTTGGACGCGGCTGGTTTTAAAATCTAGAAAACGACGACAAAAAAAGCGCAACTTGTCTTTGGTTCCATCTCACCTGAACAGGTGACGTGTTTACTGTGAGGAAGGCCTGACCTGCCCTCTGTGCTGTCACAGGCCGGTGCAGGAGAGCAGAAGCTGATGAGGCGAGACTTGTTCTGGTTTGCTTTTTCTGCTGCGAGACAAAAAAAATAAAATAGAGAAAGAAACAAAAAAAAACAGGCTTTGTAAGAAAGACGAAAGCCCTTCTATCATGACCGAACACACACACACACACACACACACACACAAATATTCAAATTCTTCCTTGTCTGCAATACATAAAGAAATGCATGAGCTGCGTTTCTAATATTTTTACGCCTTTAAAGCAGAGCTTTGTTTCCTGATTTCTTCTTGTCAGAAATTGTAAACATCTCGGTGGCTTCACACCAACAGTCTGTCATGGAGGGGAGGAGTTTAAGGGAAAAAAAAGCTTACATGGCGGTACGAACGGATTAGAGATTGTACATCAGATAATTCCTGAGTGTTTTTTAGCTGTCACCACACAAGCGATCGTTAGAAATCGGTCTCATTTTTAAACTGCGACGAGTTGTTGGGCCCTTCGCTTTCGTGCTGAAGCTGAAGAGTGGAAAAGCAATATGAGTCAGTGTTTTTGTTTTTTTTATTAAGTGTCAATCATCGCATAAGCCCCTCCTTAACAGTCGCCCCTGATGTATCACCAGCTTTATTTTCAAAGCAGAGGTGAGGTCTGAGCTTTGCAGAACCCGGTTTGCTCCAATAGAAAGCGGCGAGCTTAGTAAGTCGTAAAAATCACAGTATTTTGGAAGAGCGAGCGGTTTTCGAGGAAAAGGAGCAGAGATGCCCGTTGCATGCTGTTCTCCATCCGAGTCCGTAGAGCGCCTTGTAAACACAGATGGTGCCTCATGCCACAAACTCCAGCTAGACTTGGCAAACGAGCACAGAGTTAAAGAAGTAACATTTGCACTAAAGCCTGACGCCCTGCATAGAAACCACCTCGGCACAGAGGGCCCACACCAGCCTGCCTCATCATTATGCAAAAAATGCATTTCTGTTCATTTCCCCCTTTCACATGGTGCATGCAGTCGGCAGCAACGAGCTTTCAAAATATTCACGTTTTCTTTTCTTCTTGAACAGCTGTTTTTATTGGCAGAAGATGGAAATTCCCTTTTTTTAACCAGTGCAGAACTTTTCAGATTATACTGTTAACCCAAGACGTACAGTACTCTATAAAGGTTTTAGGCACTAAAATATGTGAGAATACTTTGAAAGATGTCAGTTTACCTGACAGGAGTTCGGTAAATAGAAAAACCCTACATTAGTGGGAGCTTCATTTGACTACACAGTCGCTCAGTCATTATGAGATCTTACCCAGAATCCTTCTCTGGAGTCGGGCTGTGTCTCTCTTCATGCATTTACTGGCTCACTTGATGACGTCACCACAGAGCTTCTGCAGGGACCAATGCATGCGTTGCAGGACTCCCTTTTCCCACTGAAGATACATTTTAGGTCATCGTCATTTTTCAAAAAGCAGGATGGCATCATGTGATTTACAAAAACATACAAACATCTTAGAGTACCTAAAACTTTTTCACAGTACTGTACTTTGCATATTGTTTGCATGATCCATGTATTTTCAATGAGCCCAGCATCTACCCTTAGCTGGTATTTCACTTCTGCGGGGTCTCCAGAAGGTGGCGCTGGTTATTTAGTCACCACAGGCAGCAAAATTAAAGCAGTCTGACAAGTTTATGATGATATGAGACACAGAGAGGATTCAGAAGCCGCCGCACTGCCGAGATACGGAAACATTAACTATGCATTTCCACACGTTCACCTCCGGCGAGGATTTGGGCAATAACACAGCGTTGAAGTTGACGTGTAGTACTAAAGCTCGACACTAACCCAACCTCAAACCCCAACTCCAGCGCATCATCCTCATCCACTCTATGCATTTTCTTTCCCTTTATGTTTTAGTGTCAGCTCTCTCAGATCGCCTGTTTCCTATTTAATGTTAAGAACCTGCCCCGACCTGCATCGGCTTAACAGGTTTTTGTATTCTGTTACAGCTTTAATGTGTTAGTTTTAGAAGTCTGGTCCATTTTTCGCTCACACGCCTGCAGAAGAGACGAAAAATGTTCTTTCCGGGAGGCAAAAAGTTCTTACTGACATCAAATGCAATACCGAAATAGTCTGTGCAGTCATGTTATCATTTTTAGGAATATTTGGAAGGTACTGTTCATTATAAATGTAAATGGAGAAGGCCGAGGCTAAGAGAAACGTGACATCATCAGGGTGTGATCTTAAGAGCAGCAGAGCGAGACGGTGACGACGTAGCTGAGCACAGTCTCATTAAAAACCCTTGATATTCTTGCAGCATCAGGATTTCAGGGATAAGTGGCTTCATGGTGCGTAAGAGTCCATCGTTTGAAAAAGTCCCATAGAGAAGCAGAACTGGTGCGCTGAATAGCTCCGCCGATGCCGAGCGAGGTCACTTCCATGTGTGCATTCCCACCTTATTCAGGTAAAGCTGAAGAGCATCACAACAGACATCGGCTTGTTACTTTTTTCGTTTTTGCAGTGAAACATGTTCTGCGACGGAGATCTGTAACGTTTGGAGGAACGGCAGCGTCACGGCGCAGGCATCGCCTGCATCAGGACACAAGCTCGGACTCGTTATCAGAACAGCTTCTTTGAAAAGTTCGGACATCGTCTGTCTCATTCGGAATAAGCAGGAAAGGACTGAATGGACGTATTAATGTTTGTGTTTCAGAGTGGATGTGAACAGGCGAGACTCACCGCAGCTACATTACAGCCCGACCCGAACCTCAAAGACGAGACATTTTCATGGAAGCCTCACTTACACAACATCATACGCTCTTCCAATGTACCACTGTACAAAAAAGATCTTTTAAAGAAAAATACTGGGGAATGGGATTATTTATTTCTTTTAATTTATTTTGTCATATTTTTGTAAGACCTGACAAATAGTTAATAAAACTATTTCAAATGCATCCCATGTGTTGTGAACCGCTTCTTTACATTTTTGAAGTACCACAAACCAAAAGTGTTTTAATCCAGTTTTATTTCAGCAAAGCTAAAAAGAACATCTGATCTAACACATGTGGGGCAAGGCTTCGGGTGGTGTAGAACAGTCTGAGCAGAAGCATAATGAGGTTTTTATACTTGAAATAACAAGACGGGGTATTTACAGTGTAGATATGAAGATGACTGACCGCACCGTCGACCCACAAAACAGGAAAGAGAGGAGGTTACGTCGTGACTCAGCCGGGGAGTGATAAGAACGATTTTTTTAAAGGACAGAAAAAGAAAAGCTTTTTTTTGGGTGCATGGACACCAATACAAACTGAATCTCATACAAGGAACAAGGCAGGATGGCAGCTGCACTTTGCTGTGCATGCTTATTGTGCATTCTATGGCTGAAAGTATAATACTCTAAACGCTCACAGCAGCCAGCTCTCCATCGAGAAGGGAGAAAAATAAAATAAAAACCATCCGGAGCTGTCACAAAGATGAGACGAGCAGTAACGCTGACCCGGGCCCTGAGCTGGATCCGAGTCTTAAGGCCTCTCGGCTAATACCTTCCACACAAAAATCCCCCCCAAACACTTTATTTCTGGTCCAGGATTATAACATCCAGCCACTGAAACAGTAACATGCAAGGCAAGATAACATCCACTGGACACTGGGGCTCTTCTCTACTTTATTCTGTAGTCTTTTACAAAAAGGCAGACACACAGATACTAAATCGGATAAGCTACTGTAACTATTTACACACGTTATGCATTCTTTTCCCTTTCCCACACGTTACTATAGACATTTCTCTTTAGTGTCTGTGCTGTTGCCAAAGTTGCGCGACTAAAAATGAAATCTCACATTTCTGTATTTTCCTATTAAGACGTAACAGCTCTTTCTTTTTCTTCACATCTTTCGGTGAAAGATCTGCTAAAACTTAAAGAGAGAGAATCCCCTTCTTACTTGCCTCGATCAGCCAGAGGGAGGCTGATCGAGTGACGCTGCTTCTCAGCCACGCCGACACAACATTAATCCTACAAGCACGAGTCCCAGGATAGAACACAGATATTAATATATTCACCATAAAACAAACAAAAGAAGCCACACGTTTAAAAAGGTGGGGGTCCGGAAGAGTCGCTTCTACTTTGTGCTGTTCTTCACAGTGCATTCTTGGTTCTGTCGATTCAAACAGTGTGGAAAAGAAGTCGCAATGCCCCCGTGTGGTTGCAGAGTGGGCAGTGAAACTGAGATGGTGGGCACTGTGGCTGGCAGGAAGCTCATTGCCATTTACAAACAACAACAAAAACATCATAAAATAAAATTAAAACAGTAACAAAATACTCACAAATCAGAACAGACTGTCCGGACGACAGAGAGGCTACACGAGTCTTGTACCAGTTACATTTTTAAGAGTAGTGTCTGACATTTTCTGTCCAGTCCGTCTCATCTTAATCCTACCATCCACTCGCAGTCCGCACTCACAGCTCAGCATGCACACAAACATATACATGTGTACTGGCCCACATGGGGAAGAGCCAACACAATCAAAACACCAGTAATGATTTCGCCTCCACGACTTGAGATCATTTCTACCAACGTTATTTTCATACACTGTAAATGGCGGCTTTGTGAGTGGGAATTTCCCGCAATTCTCTCTGGAGTGACTTAACTTCATGCCAGGAAAGACATCCTGCTCTAGTCCAGGAAAAACCAGGAAGTCTGCATGCAGGAGGGATTATCCTATGGTTTTGCTTATATTGGCTATACCCTATTGATGCAAACACACATGTATACCCACCCACACACACACACACACACACACACACACACACGACGCGCACTTATGAGTCCTCGTTCATCTCTTGGCTATCTGTCCTGGCGATCTTCCTCGGGGGCGCCGGGCTGTCACCCTCAGCTTGTTCCTGTTCCCTTTTCTTTGCTGCATTCTGTTTGACACAGGATTACACAGGAATCAGCAAAATCACAGCCTCGCTCTCTTTCAACACGTCAGTGACAGAAGCACAGATGAACAGTTGCTTCATAGCACGTGATTATTTGAGACATAATAAAGACTCCTTACAAAGACTTTTGAATTTCAGGAGTGGGACCGCAGCTCATACTCGGCCCTGCCAATTCCATCAATATATTTCCCTTCCTACATTATACACAGCATTTATTGAGGTTCTTGCATTAGTACCTGTTGCCACTCTTTACTGAGGCCTTCCCCAAACTGCAGTTTAAAATCTGAATCTTTATTTCATCTGCCATTCTCTTTCAAGAAATACTGTCAACTCTTAGCCCTAACCCTAGTTGAGGATGTGGTCTCTGCCAAATGAGAGAAATGAAAGAACTGCACACGCTCACCTTTTTGTCCCACTGCTGGTGGAGGTAACGCAGGAGAATGTTGGTTTTTTCTGTAACAATGACTGTAAACAAACACAGGCAAGATGTTTTACATACAAAACACATTACACAGGGTGCTAGTTTAGCCACAGTTAGTAAGCATTTGAAAACATCACCACAGCAGTTTTACAGTTTCAACTGTACTTACTCTGTTCAGAGGGGTATTCGCGTGTTGGTAGGTACACGGAGGGCCTGCGGTTCTATACGAGAGATCAGAAAGAGGCTGTGAATTAGAGCTGTGCCTTCTAGACATGAACAAACCTTTAAAGAACTGCATCAAGTGATTTTAAAGGCTACTTACAGATGCTTTACAAACTGAATCTGCATGAAACCTGCTGAAGTTGCTCTTGTTGTAGACAGGAAGTCCTTTCAAGAAATCAGCCTGTGGAAAGAAGGTGAGGTGACCGTTAGACTCTGCAGCTCTCATTTAATTTGTCTTTCATCTTCAACTTCATACATCCAAAGATCGCAAGTCTGAAATCATCTGACTTTCAGCAGTCAGACTGCTGTAGTTTACTCGTGTCGGCTGACAGCAACAGTGTAAGTCATCACCACCGACATGAGCGTAGGTGTGCTCCTCTTAATGCAGATGCTGCTGAGCAGGTGACAGGTCCCTGCAGATGACTGGATACAGCATTCAGGGCGTTACCTCATCTTTCACGACAACAAACCTGCCGCCCTTCGACGTCGCCATTAACCTTCAAAGTGGATGCAATATCGCACAGTGTCCATCAAGAGGTTTCAAATGGGCAGGATAGAGCTGAGCAGCTCAGAGCACAAATCGATGCCGGCTTGGCCTTGAATACCAACAGGAGGAGCAGGTGTGGCTAGCAGCTAGCCGGTAGAATCAGTTAGCTGGCTTACAATTACTGTATGCCTTATAACACCAGCTATACAGCTTAAACCACAGTAATAAACATGGGGTATGCGAACTACCTTCTCCATGATGGTGGCAGAAACGTCCAACTGCCAAACGCCGACTTGTGGACTTGGTGTGTGTTGTTCTGGTCGTGATGGCCGCGCTAGCTTACAGGCTAGGAAACCGAGACCGCTGTCCTACGTCCTTTTCGAAAGCAAAAATCACCGTCCTCAAACACAAGTTGCTGTTTCCATTTTACTTCCCAGTGACTGTGGAAAAAATGACACTACGCGCATAAAAAAGCCAAGACACCAAAACGCTCAGTACACGAGTTCGCAAAGCTACTTACACAGGACTTCTTCAGCTAGCATGATGGCACCGACGCTTTTCTAGGCCACGCCCCAAGTAGCGCCTATTGGCTTATTCTTACCCCCACCTGGTAGTAGCTTGACCGGACAACCAATTGTTAAAAACAACACAATTTAGCCCCTCCCTAAACCATTGACCAGGCAATCTGCTCTCACTCATTGAGTTTCATTATGAAAACCATCAGCCACTATTGATCCGAGCTAGAGTCCAAGATTGATGTCATCATGTGGGCGCACGTATCTCCTGCACGCGCCAATGTTTATTAGTGTCTGCAGTAAAGGCTTCAGGAAACTGAAGGACTATTTAATTCTTTTGACTTTTGTTGTAAGTTTACACCAAGTTGAAAACTTCAGATTGAAAGGTGAGAAATTGAAAACTAGGGATAAAAAAGGGTTTTCATAACACAAAGTCATTCAGGTGTTTTTGGTATTTTAAATCCTTTCAGATCTGAGTGTAGCGGAAAATTTATCTTTGTATCATAAGAAATATCTAATTTATGATGGGTGCACAGCAATCACTGAAATCAAAGATCCACAATATCTTTATTCTTGTCATACAAAATCACACAACAGTCAAGCAAATGCAATAAACAGATAATAAATATACAGGACTGAGCAACATTAACATTAAGAATATAATGAATTATTTTAAAGACTGCATGTCAGTATACTGTGTCTACACCCAGACTCTTCTAATAAGGTGTTGTTAGGATCAGCCAGAATAAACTGGGCCCTCTAGCCTTATACAGGTGACGAAGGCCATTTTGCTGCACACTCTGACTATACTCGCAGTCTCTTAGTCTGCTTCTTAGGTTCACTGACTTGTACCTGCACACAAAAGAGAAAGTCAGAATGGATTCAATCAAACAGGAATCCATATGAGTAAAGAGGGCAGGAGTATTTACTTTGTCCAGGAGATGAGATTTAAATCACATGATGGTAAGGGCTTAAGAAGCACAGTTGAAGAGTCACAGTACTGTGCTCTTTATTTTAAACAGTGCTCTTGCGTAACATCATAGACTTTAAAGGAGGAAACCTGGTCTTGTTAGGAGAGACGGCATCCATCCCACTTTGGATGGAGCAGCTCTCATTTCTAGAAATATGGACAAATTTATTAAACCCCCCAAAATATGACCATCCAGAGTTGGGACCAGGAAGCAGAGTTGCAGTCTTACACGCCTCTCTGCAGCTTCTCTCCTCCTGCTACCCCCCCCCCCCCCCCCCCCCCCCAAAAACCCATCTCCATAGAGACTGTGTCAGCTCCCAAACAGACAAAAAACAAACTAAAAACCATCAAACAACTTAAACATAAACAATTACAAAGAAAGAACAATACAGTATCCACATC